GAGCTGGTGGCCCAGGGGAACGTCAGCTGTTGGTGCACGGGGCACCCATCAGACAATCGCAGGCATTAGCAGATTTGCTGGCTACCTGTCAGATTCACTATGAGCATCATGTAACTCAGGTTCGGGGGGTCTCCTAGATGGTGGGGCTGGTTCTGAAATTCAGCGTCCTGTTGTCAGGTCCCTGGGTTCAGCCCCCAGGGCCTCCCTCAGGCCTCAGTTGCTCCTGATCTGAGTGGTGAGGCTGGGTGTGGGCATCCGGACTGACGTGCATTACTTCCCACCCAAACCCCACAGCCAGGCAGACATCAGAGGCCAGAGGCAGCCTGAGCCTGCTGCTTTGAGGCTATCCACAAGCTTTGGACAGGAGGGATAAGGTTTGGGACTTGTGGCAAGTGCAGGAATCTTCTGGAAAGTGTCAGAATCTATGCTAAGTCCTGAGGAAATGCCCTTCTCTCCCTTGGGCCCCAGTGTCTTATCCTGAAATGAGGTGGGTGAGTTCCTCAAGGCATGTCTTCTCTGGTTCTAATACCCCTGGGCTGTGGCCACATTCTGCTGCCAACACGGGGTGCACTAGGCCCTCCCGGTCTGCACCTCCAGAAGACTGAAAGCCCTTAAGAGACAATGCAAGATTTCCCTGGAGGGTTTCAACTTTCTGTGGCTGCTTCGTAACACCGAAGAGTACACATCACATATACATTAAGAGAGTAAAAATAGTGCAACTGACACCAGATAGGCCCTGGGCCCTCCCAATCCTACCACCCCCTTCCTCTGTCCCAAAGCAATTACTTGATCCAAATCATCCTTGAATTCGATTTTACCATTTTGGAGTGGTTTTGAGCTCTAAATTTGGAAATTTCATAAATCTGCAACATCCCTCATACAAACAATCAGAAACAACATAGGCTGGGGTGGGCACTTGGCTTTATTTGTGCCTATGTTCACACTCAGGCCCTCTCTTCCCAGAAGGGGTGAGGGTCGGCCTGGGTGCCCACTCTGTTAAGGGGGCTGGCTTTTCCAATTCCTTGTTTGACTTTTTTGCTTAAACAAAGCAACTGTACCCCCCCCTTTTGAACAGGGCCTCAAGGCACCAGCAGATGTTGACATCATGTTCATCCTTGTGCAGATTTAAACACATGGGCCGGTCTGCTGGGCAGGCAATGCTTACCCACCACACCCACTCAGGTGTAGCCTTTGTGTGTTTTGAAAAAACCTCTGTGACCCTGGCAACTTTATGTATATGATAGTTTGGAGTCGGCCACAGGTGACAGATAGAAGAGGTTCACAAAATCTGCACAGATAGCAGTAAGCTGAAGAGTCTCAGACACAATGCAGTACTTCTGTTGAACATCACTACGTAATCTCACAGTAAAACTCCACACAGAAAACTGTCAAGACAGCAACAGCACAAAACTGACTACACTCCTGTGAAGAAGTGAAGTGAGGATCTTATAAGACAGAGCAGTTGGCCACCCGGGCTCCCTTCGGGAAGGGCACGGTGGGTGGCTTTGGGCACAGTTAGTGGTTTGGGAAGACAACTTGGGCCCCTGAGAGGAGTCCTGGGCTGGGGCAGTGTTTCCTTGAGTCCCTTTATTTACACTGACTGCCCAGAGGTCCCTGTCCCGCATGGAGAGCAGCCCCAGGTGCCCTGTGGTGTGGGCAGGGCAGAGGGGAGGTGAGAGGAGTCAGGCAACCAGGACAGTCCCGGGGGGAAGTCTGGAGGTCAAACCCTGGAACTTCCCTTCTCTTCCTACTGCCCCTGCAGGTCCCACGGGGAGCTGGAATTCCCAGCCGGATGACAAGCCCAGGTCTGGAGCAGCCAGACGGAGGGCGGCTAACTGGAGAGCGGCCTGGGGCAGGGGCTGAGGGCGGAGACAGACCTGACCTGGCCTGGCCTGGCCGGTGGCTCCTTTTACCCTCAAGCTCATCCTGCCCTGGCTCACTTGCTGATGCCACCTCGGCACCTGTAAAATGTGGGCCTGAACCAGATGCGTGTTCTCTTCTAGCTCGAGCATGCTGGGAGCCCATGAAGTGTTTATGACCAGGACAGCACACTTGGGAAGGGTGCCAGCTTTGCCTGGGGGAGCCTTTTCAGTGAGGCACTGAAGTCTGGGCAAACTGGCACAAGTCAGGCTGACAGAGCTCTCAATAGGCCTGGGCTCAGAGGAGGGATTCTGGAGGGTTCCCCAGGTCTAGTGACCACGCCACCTGCTCCCCTGGGACCCCGTTGCTGCTGCTTTCATTTGGCTGCAGTGAAGTTGGGGGCCCTGGGGTATCTGGGCCTGGCCAGTTGGGGGCAACCTGCTGCCCTGGCCTTGGAGCAATCCCAGAGCCCATAAAGCATGTCTGTGTTTGGGGAGGGCTAGGGTGGGCCTCCAGGTAGTTGGAAGCCCGGGGTCAGCTCCAGCGGACCCCTCTGCCCTCTTGCTCCTCAGGTACTGGGCTGTTCTCTGCTCCCCACAATGTGCTCAGACTCCGGGGCAACTCAGAAGGGACGATCACAGAGCCAGTGGCTTCCCTGGAGATTGGGGGCGGCCTGAGGACACTAAGGGCAGTGCCCTGGGATAGGTTTCCGGAACTGCCTGAATTCCTGTCTAATTCCCTCGGAGCTCTGAAATTCCTATGGCATAGGGGGCTCAGCAGAACAAAATACTGCAGTCACTACACAAAGGTGGTCAAAGCCCTTGCTTCTGGCCCACAGAGACCCTGTGTTTTCCCCGGCACTGGTGGAGGACAGGCCCCTCACACCTTCCTTCCCCACCGGGTTTCCTGGACAGCTCTTGTCCGTAGATCGTCCGGGGAACTTGCCCCACCCTTGCTGTGCGGCGTGGCCATCCTGCCTGCCCCTTCTGCTTCTCTCCCTCTCCCTCCCCAGGAAAGGCAGGGCCTCCTCAAGATCCACGTGGGCCCCGCCCTCCCCTCCATACTCTCAGGCACCCGACTTGTCACTGGAGCACGGTTCCCTCTCTAGTTCTCTAATTCAGCCTTTTGTCAGATTCATTACCAGCATCTATTACCAGCCTCTTTCAACCTAAACCATGTCCCCCGCCCCAAATCTGTCTGCTGGAAATCCCAGCTCTCTTAGAGGCACCTTCCATATTTCACTATCATGGATTCTCCATTAGGTTCACCCTATCAAGCAAGTTAGTAAATTCACTTGATTCTGGCCATTTTTCTTACATGTAAGACTACAGTTTCAGAGTTAAAATTTTAGTTTGGGCTGGAAAGTCAGTTCTGACATTCTTGGTCCACCCCTTTACAAGCACACTACAGGGTTAGGTGCTTTGATTCTCACAAATTATGTCTCATTGGAGCTACCTGATTAGACTAAAACTCATGTTTATGGTTCACTTTCATTTCTATTTAAGTACAACCACTGTAGGAACATAAACTCAGGGTCTCAGCAAATATTCTAAATGACACTGGAATGCATTCACAATTTTGTGCTCAATTTCCCTTTCTAACCCCAAACTCAGTCTAAGTGTATGAATCAGGAATTCAGAGGCAGGTTTTCTGTAATTTGGGAAGGGCAGGATTCACCATAAACAGTTTTCTCCTTCTCCCCCTTATCATTTCATAATCTGGAATCTGCTTCCTTGAAAATTAGGTCCAATCTGTGACCATTCGCACAAATCCGAGTGTAAATTATCTTTTTTAGAGCTTAGGAAACCAAATAAAATGGCTCACTGATGCCCCCTTTCAGCATGTGTCACCATGCATGGGACACAAAAGGTTTTCCTTTGGGGGTCCCAACAGCCTGAAGATATCCGGGTATCTTGACAAGAAGTGTGGGAGTTATTGGTGTTCAAACTCCTGCAGTTTGTGTCAAAATCTGCAGGAAGCAAGAGTGGGCCAGGGATGGGAGCTCCCATATGGCACAAGAATGTGCCCGAGGGTGGAGTTCTAGAGGGCGGTGACTGGAGAAGGGGGAGAGTAGCCTGGCAGATGCATGAAAAGGCTGGACAATAGTGGGGCACCCCTGGGAAGCTGAGGCCTTGGCAGGCTGTAGGGAGTGAGCAGAGGCCGAAAAAAATCAGGAAAAACCTGAGCTATCTCTCAGCTCTGCTACAACTTAGATTTGGGTCCTATTGTCCCATCCCCAGCACTGGCCTCAGTTTCTATCCTCTAAATTAAAGGATGGCAGTCAAGGGTGAGGAAGTGTCCCTTTGGGAGGACGAGGATCTGAAAAGCAATCATACTTGGGAGGGAGTCCTGGCCAGAGGACAAACAGGAACAGTGGTGGGTAATCCTTTCTAATTTAGGCCTCACTGTGATCCTTACAAGTAGGGCTCTGGGCTCCCCATCGCTGGGGAGACAAGCAATGAAAAGCTTCAAGTGAGAGGGACTTCTGCCTCTGGTTTGGTTTTACTTTGTAAGGTGCTGTTTGGAGGTGAGAAGGCACATAGGCGACAGCGTTTTTAGGTGAGGGTTGGTCTCTCCAGTGACGACCTGCATCGGAAATGCAGAGGGTGGGCTTTGATTTGCCCAGAGGTCATACCTGAGTACACGCTCAGCAGACTCTCAGCCATCTTGCATGTGCTTAGTTGAGGATGTCCTTACAACTTGTAATGGGGTGATTCCGATCAGGTCGGGGCCTCTGCTTGGGTCCAGCTGAGTCCCGGTAAAGTCGGCTCAAATGCCCTCCCAAGCAGCCCAATGGCTCCGACAAACCTAAGGATGGACAATCTGTTCCTAATGCATTTTAAACACTTTAGAAATAGGTGATGATTCTTCAAATGAAGGAAAATACCCAATAAAAAAATAAAGATAGACTATACATGCTGATTTAATGGCAAACTTATTTTCAATACTAAGGATGGGGCCTCACAGGGCCAGTCCTCCTCACAGGAACAAAGGGCTTTTCTCACTTCAAAAAACACACCTATATCTTCTGAAGAAAGACGATCAGTCGGCAACTTTTTTTTTTTTTTTGGTGGTAAATAGTATAGCCTCAAACAAAGCTTTATGTAGGTTAAGTCTAATAAAAAACACCAAAAAGTAAAACACATTAAAAATTTTATTTTAAATATCACACATGTCCAAATTTGCATCAATTTTGATATATTTACGCTCATTTTGCAGAACACAATAGTTGCACAATTTCCTTAAATCTTAAGTCACCTTGCTTTTGATCTTTTCATGCTCAAGGCCGTCCCCGCATTGTCCCCTTCTCTCTGTGACAGTGTCCTCCGCAGTCTACTCTGCAGTCATGCTGAGATCCCAGTCGGCCCTACTGAGCCAGGGAGGACCTGCTCCCAGAGGGGCTGACCTTGCACCTGGGACAGGCAAGGCATTTTCTCTAGTCCTAGAGCTGAGCCTGCACCGGGCCAGCCTCTGATCGCTCCAGGAGCCCACTCTTCTCTGTCCATCTTCATTCCCACTTGTGGGACTAACTCTGGATATTCTGAGCAAAATTAACCCCAGGCAGTTTCATGGGAGTACTCCAGAACCTTGAATTGGTACTTAATCATTATTTTTTAACGGAGTAAAAGAGTTGGGAAAACTTCCCTAGCTTAGAATGTGCTGGAACAGTGTGGAGTAGGATTTAGTTTTCTGTTTCTCCCTCAGCATGTAAGCGTGGCCAGTACTGCGTGCAGCAGGTAAGCAGTGCTCACGTGCTTGGACATGTGGATGCTGAACAGCCACATGTTTGAAAGCAAATTTGAGAAAAAAAATAGTGATGAAAAATAATTTGACATGTTCTTTCTGAATGATATTCCCCTCCCCTTTCATGGCATTTATGATCAGATATAATGTAGGATGATACATTTTAGTAAAAAGAATAAGATTAAAATAGCAGTAAGTTCCCATCTGGAGTGCTCTTCAATCGCTTGCAGAAATCTGTTCCTAATGCATTTTAAACACTTTAGAAATAGGTGATGATTCTTCAAATGAAGGAAAATACCCAATAAAAAAATAAAGATAGACTATACATGCTGATTTAATGGCAAACTTATTTTCAATACTCTAATAGTAATGATCCTGGAATGAAGGAAGGGAGGGAACATCGGGGGCCCCCCTTTGCCGCGAGGATGCCAAGAACACGGGCGCCAGCGAGTGCCAGGCGCCGGGCTGGGCTGATTTAGGATTCCGGGACAGCGCCCGGCCGCTGCGGTCCGCACTGCGCTGTAGGCAGGACCGTCAGTGCTGCAGCAGGAAGTTGGTAGCCACATTAAGGTCGTTATTCGAAGCTCTCAGGGCTTCCAAAGCATCACCTCTGGAAAATCCCATCTCCATGAGCCGGGCAACCTAAAAACAGGAACAATACCAGAAACCTGATGAGGCTAACGACACTGCTCCGAATCCCCCAGCTCCAGAATGTTCTTTGTGCAAGTTTTATAGGACAGGTTAAAACAAACAATTTCCATTTCGGTGTGTGAAGTCAGATGTTTAAAAAATGTTAACAGGCACATTTAAAACGCTTAATATATAGTCTACAGATGTTACCTTATTTAATCCTTATTTCGGTGGAGGGCTGGGCTTCCACGGGGGACCTGCCAGGATGGGCAGAGGCTGGAGGAGCTTCCAGACGGGGCCTGGGAAGCGGGTCTATAGGGGCAGCCTGGTGCTCACCCTCCTTTGTGAAGAATACCTTTTCCAAGCTGCATTTCTGTGTGCATGAACAGTTGCTTCACTGTAGGTCTACTCCTGATGCTGGCAGACGCTGCCGATCAAAACGCCCCGAGGTTCTCGGCATCACTCAGCCAGAGACCTTCCTCTGGCTTCCCAGTCCTCGCTAGCATGTCGCGTCAGTACAGACATGTGCTAAGTCCTGGCCCAGGGCTCTGTAGGCAGCAGCAGCCATGAGCAAAGGCGGCAGAACCGAGGGAAGGAGGGCGCTGAAGCCACCAAGATGGGGAGGATGGGGCTGGCACTCTTTTAACCCCAAATCCTCAATCTGAAATACAGAGGCTTCCTGTACTTCTTCGTGTCCAATGTCAAAATAGGCAGTACTACTAAAGTCTATTCATAACTTATTTTCCCATTTAAAAGTGTATTATAAAAAATATTTATGATCTTGGACTAACCACAGGCATTTTTCTTTGTAGTTATATTGAAATATACCTCCTTTGCAATAATATATAGTAAACAACCATACTCTTATAAATGTTGAGATTTCCAACAATGTGGAGGTTAGAGAGGCTTCTGTGGGCTGATGAGGACTTGGTCACCGTTTCTAATCTCCTTTCCTGCAGAGAACAATGTGCTCAGCACTACCCAGTGAGACAGCCTCCTTCCCCCGCTGGGGAGTCAAGGTGTGTGTGTGAGCACGGGGCGGTGGGGGCGGGAGGAGGAGCAGGGGGTGCAGGCGCCCGGGAGAGGACGTGGCGTAACTTCCCGGCACCACGCAGACCCCCAGCCCCTTGTCCCCTCCGGCAGCCTTAGGGAGAGGCTAACCCAGCTGACAGGAAGGATGCCCAAAAGGCTTCTCAGAAGCCAGCGTTCTAGCCAGTGTTCTTCACACTGATGTTGTGACCCCTCATCAGTGGGTCATGGACTGTTAGGGCAAGACTAGGATTAAAAAATGTGTGTAGTGAGGGTCTTCCTTCCATGTAACTTCACTTAGGTTTTCTACATTCAGACATACATATGCCGTGGGCTGTGTTTCTTATTGGGGGCTGTGGTCAGAAACATGTGACAGTGGTTCCTACAGGCGTTGTTGGTGCCCATGAGAAGGGCCACCCACAGGCGAGAAGGGTGGCAGCCTCTGCACCACATGAGCGAGACTATGCGGGGCTTGCGGGCCTTCTCCGCTCAGCTCCCGGGTTGCACGGACGGCATGGACAGAATGGCAGGGACCTTCTGATTTTATTTCCTGCTCAAGGGAAGAACCACCTTTTCCAGAATATTACAAATATTCTTCACTCCCTGCCAAGATGGAAAGTTCTTCCTCAAACGGAGCAGAATCTGCTTTTCACTAGTTGCCATCCGTGGGACTTCAAAGGTCCTATTTTGCCCTTTGCAGTAACAGAAAACAGCCCTATTCCTTTTTCTGCTGAAACTCTGAGTAACTGAAGCACCTCCCCACCCCTCTGTCTAGGCCAGCATCCACCCTCCTGTCCATCCCAGGCCCTGTGATGCTGGCTCCTAGTGCCACTGGGGTTGCCTCTGCTGGAAGCCTTTTCCCTTTTCCCTTGGTCCGGTTCACTCCCCTTCATTCATTGGATCTTGGGGCACCTGACCTTTTCAGTGTCTCCTAGACCAGAGCAACATCTCCTGGCCCTGCTGACGTCTGTTCTGTGTTCATTACAATTGGGACTTTTATCTGGGTTTATAGGGCAGACTGCTTCTCCCGACCACTGTGCTAAGCCTCTCAGAGTAAGAACAAGGGCCCTGGCTGCTCTGGTCATTCCTGTGCCTCAGCATCCGCCACCTCCCAGCCCAGCCCGCCCTTCCCAATGCTTGCACACCAATGACATCTCAGAATATGGCACCCAGAACTGAGTACAGTCCTGTTGGTATGGTCTCACCAGGGCATAGGGAGGCTAGACTGCTGCTGTCATGTGAGCTCAGCACTTATTGATGTTTCAGCAATGCATACACACGTGTGGATATGTGTGTACACATCTTCTGTGTGTAGCTGCATCATACGGGAGTGGCCAGTTAAGCTGGGGCCTGCTAAAACACCCTCAGGTATTTTCACTTGAAATGCTCTCAAGGCAGACTTCTTGAATCCTACCCTGTAAGTGTAAATTTGATCTTCCAGGTATAGGACTGTACACTTCTCTCTTAAATTTCCTGTTTCCTAGCCAACCAAAATTAATGTTTAAATTCTGTTGTCTATTATGTTAATCAGCTCCTGCAAACTTGTATCATCCCCCAATTTGATTAGCAAACCTCTACAATATCATTCAAATTACTACTGAGCAGGCAAAATCAAAGACAGAGCCGGGGGCTCCCTAGAGACTTCCCACTCCATTCAAGTGGCTAATCAACATTATTTATTTTTATTTTTATTTTTATTTATGTTTACTAGGCTCTCCCCTACCCCAAGTCCCCACCCCCAACAAACCCCATTACAGTCACTGTCCATCAGCATAGTAAGATTCAACATTATTTTTTTAAAGAGATATTTTAACCAGTTTCAAACCGAATTCATACTATTATTATTATTATTTGTTCCACATGTCACCAACATTATCTCTTAAGGTGATGGGATGTTGTTAAATGTCTTGGTGACATCCTGTGTGAACAGGATTAGTTTGATGTTTTCAGACCACAACACTCTTTTCAACGTTTACAAGTCATCTCTTTGATAATCTATTTTAGGCATCTGCCAGATGTGAAACATCAGTTTTGCCATGCAGTTCTCAGAGTCCACACTTTCCCCTTTGCTTCGAGGCACCTCCAACCAAGCATTGCTTTCTCTGCCCCCACCAGTGCGCTCGGGGACAGGGGCTCCCGGACTTGTGCTGGACACATGTCAACAGGGAAGAAACCACCTCACTGACCCAGGGACACTCACTAGGTTATTTCCACTCCTGGAATGAAGTAACCTTTTATAATATTTATTTCAATTACTTCCAGTTAAGGACCACTGTCTTTAGCGGTGTTGACGTAGCTCAATGAGGAGTGGGCAGCTCTACCTGCCTTCTCTGTTATCTATGAACACAAAACCACAGCCCAACCACCTGGTCAGTCTTAACGACTTTGAACAGCATGTCAACTACTGCGTTCACTGTCACCTCTTCATCACTTTCAGTCAGTACTTCAAGCATAGCTAAGGACCGGCTGCTTCTTGGCAGGAGGCCAGCAGGAACACATCTATTTGTGAACCATGATTCATAATCTGGAGTTGATGACGAGTGAGTCAAGATCAGGAGTGGGTACCAGGTGGGGGTGCTGGCCCACAGTTCCCACCTGGGACTGGAGTTTTCTGCCCACTAGCTCTGTATTTGGTTTGGAGTCTAGAAGATACTGAGGGGACCTACAGCACCTACCCTGCCCTGGAGGGAGACCAATCTTCCCAGGGTGGGATGGCTGGGCTGAGTCCTAGGCTGTTAGGTGATGTTTGGTTGAGGGAAGTTTTCTCTGCACGCCAGGCTTCCTCCTGAGGTCATGGTCTCTCTCTCTCAGAAACGAGCCACCGCCTGGGCATCATCACTGGGTTTGACACCTGAGCTGGGTTTTCTGAACGTCTTTGCAGAGGAGACTGCTTGCTGTTACAAGCGTGCAGTGGCTGGCTCTGCATCCTTTAAAAGCTGGCAATCATGCCCTCTGTCAGGGCTGGCTTTGGAGTTTTTTGTTTTTTAAGGGGTGAAAAGACAAATGTGATTAGAGATTTTCATTTCTGAGTTACCTACTACTTGACCGGATGGAAATGCTGGTGAAACAGTAAGAGTGTTACTACAATTCTTTTAAAAAACTGAACAGTTACACTAAGAAAGGGTATCTGTAAGTTTCTCCTAGTGTCTAAAACTGCAATCAATCATAGATATATAAAATTGCATACTTGGGCTTGGAAATGTGGATAATAATCAGCCAGAAAAGATGAGAAGTAGAGACAGAAGTTGCGACGGGTGTTCTCTAACTGCCCCCAGCTCTCAGTGGGGGGTGCCCGTACGGGGCCCCATAGCTGAGCATTCTACCGCATCCTTCGTCCAGGCGTCTCGAAGGCTCACAGACCAGGTGATGGTAACTGGAGAACCCAGCAACACCTGAGCACTCTCGGGTGGACACCAACAATCGCTGGGTGGGCCGTAATGGTTCCCTGTGCTGAGAAGCCCGGCTTGCCCAGCCCTTGTGGATTCTGTCACTGTCTCTGTGTGAAAGGCTTAGGACGGGAAGCATGACGCCTGTGCTCACACAGCAGAAAGAGAAAAGCTGTAGTCAGGCAAGCAAAACACGGAGAGCATTCCAGAAGTTCACAATTCCTTACAGTAAGAACACAAGTGAGGCTGGCAGCTGTTTCAGATGTGACGCACGTGCAAGAGAATCACCCCTGCAGGGAGGCAGGAAGCCGCCAGGGGACAGACTTCTCTGCGCTCTGGAGTCAGGCCCCAGTGGGCCGTGAATTCACTGCGTGCCCCCAGCAGGGGACTGAAGCCCCAGGTTCTCAGTCTTCTCACAGTTCTGAGGATAAGACATGTGTGTGTAGGAGGCCTAGGTAGGGCCTGGCACACACTAGGTGCTAGTAAGGATGGCATCCCCCTGAGGATGAGCAGTCCAGGGTCAGCCGCTGCGCGAGAGCCCTCCCTCGGAGCCCATCGGGCCTGTTCGGAGACTCCAGCAACGCGACAAAACCATGC